GGTACGAAACCTCGCCAGCAAAGCAGGCTGGGCACCGCAGGTGTGAGCTGCCAGCGCGCAAAAACCAGGGTGGTTTTAAGAAAAAAGTGCAGCTTTTTCTTTTAGCAGCTGAAGCCTCATTAATTTGAAGATTGAAATGGCCACACAATCGGAAACGGGCACCACAGTCCCAGCGACGGGTCTGAACGGGGGTTAAAAGGAACCGGCGTGAGACCCCGAGGCGATGGGGTCCGGGGAAGCAGAGGGAAGCGCTGTGGGGGCCGAGCTGTCTCCTGCACAAAGGATGGGGGGCTCTTAGGTCCGCACATACCTTTTGCTTCTGGAAACCCAGCCCAGCCTCTCTGCGCTTTGCCTTTGCAGCTCTGTTTAATGGGACGGCGGTGCTCTACCTCAGAGGAGAGCAGAGCCCTGATGCCCACCGAGGACTTGCAGTTCCCCTGCACAGCACCAGAGACATCCCCGTACCGCAGCATCCTCTAGTTAGAAGGGCAACGAGGCTGGTGAGGGGTCTGGAGAACAAGTCTGATGAGGAGCGGCTGAGGGAACTGGGACTGTTTAGCCTGGAGAAAAGGAGGCTGAGGGGAGACCTCATCGCTCTCTACAACTACCTGAAAGGAGGCTGTAGCGAGGGGGGTGTCGGTCTCTTCTCCCAAGTAACTGGCGAAAGGACGAGAGGAAACGGCCTCAAGTTGCACCAGGGGAGGTTTAGGTTGGACATGAGGAAAAATTTCTTTACTGAAAGAGTGGTTAAACATTGGAACAGGCTGCCCAGGGAAGTGGTTGAGTCACCATCCCTGGAGGTATTTAAAAGACGTGTAGATGAGGCGCTTAGGGACATGGTTTAGTGGGCATGGTGGTGTTGGGTCGACGGTTGGACTCGATGATCTTGGAGGTCTCTTCCAACCTTAATGATTCTATGATTCTAGTTTAGCCAGCGGTAAATCGTGAAGAATTATTTGCCGGAGTGATTTAGTGAGGTGCTTTAAATGGCATGTAAATGTTTGCATATTGCTTTGAGCATGAGAACAGCTTTACAAGTGCTAGCTATTGTTATTTTGCTTTGGAAACCATGTTCTCCTTAAAATCAATGTCACAAAGAAGAATGTGTGAGCAAGCTAGTTAACTTGCTACAATACTCTTATTATTGCCGTTAGCGGAGAGGATCGTAACCCATGCTGACACAGCCCTTCGGGCGCTGGGTGTTATTCTCATTTGGTATAAAGCATCGCTTACTTCATCATGAGAACGCACCCCTACCTCTGACCCTTGCTTGCAAAACTGTTTTCTGCTCAATACCTAGAAATTCACCGTGTTGCAGTCAGGCCTTTCAACTATAAAAAAAAAACCCAAACAGCTGAATGCTCAGAGAGTACATCGCTCTGGTTGAAAACACAAATCCAGAAACACTTTGCAATCAATCAGCCATGCCACGGAAGAGGACAGCCAGCGAGGACAGCGAGCGTGGGCTGTTCATGGTGTGGGCAGAGCAGGCTCTCTGTCCCTCGCTGTTAACCCTGTGCTGCTGCGCTCTGTGGAAGGAGCCGGGGTTTGCTGACACTTGGCGACCCGAAGTGGGTTTAATGGTGGAAACGTTCGGGGATCCTCCCCGGCCCCGATTCTGCACGTGCTTTCAAGTCACGCTTGCTCCCCAAGTGCTTGGGTAGGTGCTTCGGGTTTTATCCCAAAGAGGGGCTTTATCTGGCAAGCTGGGAAGCTTGGGGGGCTGCTGGGAAGCGTGGGGGGCTCCCGCTGGGTGCCCACTGTCCTTGGTGGAGGAATGGGCGCAGCCTTGCTCACCCTTCTGCCTCCAGCCCCACTGAGCTTCACCAGACTCTGCGAGGGGCTTTTCCCCCCCCATGGCGCTGAGCTGAACCCCTGGCTGCAAACTCTTGGTTTTGGGTTTCCCTTTTTTTTTTTTTTTCTCTCACCGTCCCACTTTGCAGGAGTCCAAGTGCAGCCCTGGGCGATCCGTGGATTCCAGGGCAGAAAGCTGGCGCCTGCCCCGGCTGCTCTCCCAGTGCTCCCCACAAGCTGTGCTCAGCTGCCCGGAGGAAGCAGTTCGTTCCTGCCTTTGCTGGAAGGGGATATTTTATTTATCTCCTTGGTGGCTTTATCTGGATTTAATATTCTATAGGTGCCACTTTTATCTGTCTTCTCCCTGCTTTCCCTTAACCTTGTTTGTGTAATCACTGTGCCCAAATTAAATATTTACTGTTTTCTCTCTACTGATGAGCCTCCCAGTTCCCTTCCACTTTCAATTAAAGATTTACTAGGTGGGCATCAGCACTTCTGCAAGGCCAACAAACCAGCCCCCCTCGTTAGATTTTTAAGTGCTTCGTTATCATAGTTCAGCAGAGCACACCATAAATGAGATCTAAAACACACCAGCACGCACGCACTCGCCCTGCAGCACCTGGCTTCATCCGCGCAAGGCTGAGCCCGAAAGCAGCAGGGTGTGAGGAGCAGGACGGGCGAACGCGTGTCTCCGGAGGGGTCTCTGGCTTCCCCCAGGATGCTGGATGGCATGGGGAGGGGGGGGACGGACACACACGACGACACTGGGGAGAGCCCTGGGGCAGGGACACGGTGGCGCTGGGCAGGGCTGGGTCAGGCACCGCTCCCACCGCAGCTCTGGTCTGTTTGAGAGACGGAGGACAGCGGTCTGCTCATCCTCAGGCCACGTTAAGAGGGGGCAGCTTCAAGAGGCAGAAACGGGGGACTTTCTCATCACTCCGCTGTATTATTTATAATTAACCGACTTTTTAGATCAATATTTTATTGGGAAGATTGCTAGGGTAATTCATGCTTTGAGCATCTTCCCTCCGTGTGAGTGAAGCCTGGGCTATTAGGAATAATGAGCTTTTTGCTAGTTACCTTTAGTGAACTAATAAATTTTTAATGCTAGCTGGAAACTTAATAATGGAAATTTAGTCGGTGACCTCAAAACTTACAGAAAAAGGTGAGGGAAGCGGACG